GAAGAACCATCGCCAGATTTTGTACGAGAGGAGCCAAAATTGCTTTCGCCACTCCCAGCAGATATGTCTTCAACAGGATCTATTGTGGCAACAGGTTCGAGAGAAACATCTTCTGTTTTATCCAAGGCAGAAGTGGACTCTGGTGGAGAGGCAAACTTGATGAGTTTCTTGGTTGCAGATGGTTTCACTACTGGCCTCTTGATCCCTAAAAAAAAAAAAATGTTAGCAGAGAACATGTCACAAAGTTGCAAGCCAAAGCGGACTTACTTCCGGTTCTTCATTGCTTGGAGGGAGTATTCTCCTCCGTGGAATCTACGGTAGTAGCAATTTTCCTTTTGACTTGAGTTTTAGGAGCTCTCATTGGCAGATCTGGCTTGTTGATCTGGGCAACCATGGCAGATTCCAGGTCCCCACTATCCTCTGCAACTTTCTTTTCTTCAAATTTTTTGGTGAGTGGTCGAGGAGCCAGAGCAGAAATATCGTCCAGAACACCGAGGAATCGAGGATGGAAATAGTCTTGCTACCAACTTCTGTAAGGGGGAGTACAACTCGGTCGGAATGGAGGATCTGGAAAGATCATTGTCTGCAAAGTTTTTGTGATTTCGGCAAGCTTGGTAGTCAAAATGTTTGATTCCCCAATCATAAATCGAAGAGGATAGCTGTGGTTGAAGAAGAACAGTGGCGGGAATGGTATGTCTTGGCAATATCTAAGCTGCCGACAGAATTGGTTCGGTGCATAGAGCTCCACGCCACATCTAGAGTTGAGAGTATTCAAACTACAGCCAATAAACAAATCCCGGGAGGTCACACTAACAGACCAAAATGCTCTGAAATTTGAAGATTATCATCGGCCTTATACCATGAAGGGCCGTGAGATCTGTTTAGAAACACAGCAAAATCTGCATCAGATCTGTCAACAGAAAGAGAGCCAAAAAATTTGAAGCACTCCTCAAAACTTCTCTTGTTCTCCACGGCATTTTTGAACATAAAGCCGTAAGTGAGCAGATTTCGAGCTAGTACAGTAGATGAAATATGAGCAAGTGCTAGAAAATAAGAGTACAGCCACAACTACAGAATCCAAAGCAGCCCACCACTAATGCCTAAGGGATGAGTTGTGACATCTTGGCAACTCCTATATAAATAAGCAAGCAGAAAAGGACCTAGAGCTAATCGTCTACCATGTGCTAAAGCAGCAGCTAAGGGGATAAATTCTTTAGTAGGACCTTTACCAGCAGAGCAAACTATATATTTGCAGATTAAAGTAAGTAGAAATGAAATGTGCTCTTCAGCATTGATAAGCTTACTTTTGTCATAGGCAGATCTCACAAAAGCTGGATAAGAGGGCTTAAAATCTACGTTGTACTCAACACCTGGTGGCAAAGTTAATAATGCTGAAATCTCTTCTCTTGTGCAAGGCAATCCAGTTAATGAACTAATATAAAAAAGGCTCATAGACATGGCTCCACAAGGAAAATGAAAGCAATTAAAATAGCTAGACCAAAACAACAAAGCCGAACCCAAGATCTGCTTATCCATGGTGAATTTGCATTTGGATAATTGTATGAATTCAAACAAACCCACATCTTTCCAAATCTAGCCAAAAGCAAGTTCAAGGCGATTTATCCAGTCAACCCATTCTGATTTCCTCCAAGCTGGCCAAGCTCTGAAAGATCCAACCCATTTACTCCAATCAGGTTTCACCTAAAAAGGGAGAGGATGTTCTTTTGGCTGTGGGTAAATGGAAGCAAGAGGAGCCAGCGGGTGAGACACAAAGTATGGACCAAAAATCTGGGATTTCTTATGAGGAACAAAAATCTGATTTGAATGGCATGGCTTATGGCGTTGGAGTATCCGGTTTATGTCATCTTGGAGATTATGGGTTTGGAAGAGTTTAATGATGAGCTAATTCCACTCTAGCAAGTGTACTAGTCCGTTCAAGTAATATAATGATGAAAATAGAGTATCGTCCCACAGAGACCGTAAACTAATTAAGTACCAAAATTAATGAATTCTAATTTTATTTGAACAATTGAAATTAAATGATTTGAATAAATTAAATAACTAAACTAGTTAAAGAACAACTAAATTAACTTTGAGCAACACCAAGAATTAAAACTCTAAGGCATCCAACTTCACCATCATCAACTAATATAGAATTTAGATCAATATACTTTCGAGGTATTTATTATTCATGTGACAGTGGGATTTCCTATTTTATTCGATACACTTTCTCAAGTTATACCAAACCTATCTTTACCTATTAACGCACTATATCTCTATGTGAATTTAAATAGATAAAGATGCATTATGTTCTATGAAATTCCCTAGTTTACGTAGAAAATTAAGTCCACTTATCACTAATGCTACACAAATCACGTTAGTCCATCTTTGGCTTTCGTTCAATTCATGGTATATATTACTAAAAGCTATTGCATAAAATCTCCTCTCGATCTCATTTATGCTTTTCAATCAGTTTTAATGGTGACCAATCATTAAAAAGCATTAAGAATAATAATATATACTCTACATGAAATAATAACCCTTGAAAGTATAAAAATCATGAAATTCTATATTAAATTGATTAGGCTACATCGTAGCCTTAGATGGCAAAATTAGTTCATACTAAACATGATAAAATCTGAGATTAAATTGATGAACCACAATT